CGGGAATCATGCTTGAGCAACATGTCACTTTGACAACGTGCCTAGCAACCCTGTGGCTCTTCCTGAGTGACAGGAGGTGGGAGGCACTGGCTTTATTTGGAGGGGTCTGACAGCCCGGAACCTGGATTCCTAGAAACTTCACACCTGAGACCAGAGCTGGGCCTTCCTGGGGTCATCTACTCCCCCGGGAGGTCGTTCTTCCAATGTCCTCGTCACATCTTCCCTTTTCCTCTGGCGCAGGGATGGTCTGGGGGAGGGCGGCGTGGCCCCCACTCAGCTGATACTGATTACAGCAGGGCAGCAGGCTGCAGGCCCCGGCCAGGCTCCCCCTGGGCTCTGGACATCCTCTGTCAGTGGGAACTCCTCGGCCTCCTTTCCAGTGGGGACCGGGGACTGCATTCACCCGCTCAGTGGCCACATAACCAAAGTTTAGGACCCGTGTCCTCCTTGTAGCCAGGATTCCACGTCCAGCCCAGCAGCTGCAGGATGACCTCTCCTGGGGGAGACTGCAGAGGCCCCTGTCATCTGTCAAGGTCCATCTGGGTTTGATGGGGACAAGGGGTGAATTAAATGGGGGTTCGAGGTGGACCCAAATTCCTGCAGCCTTCCACATTTGAGGATGGCCCTGGTGTCTGCCGTTACTTCTGGACACTATGACTGTGTTTTCCGTCATGGCCAGGATGGGAGGGGACCAGGACAGAGGTTCTATTTGATCTTCTCTCATCACCATAGATCTCTGGGCCCCCCATGGTCAGGACTCCATATAACCCCTTCCCCAGGTGTCCCCATGCTAACAGGAGGCTCAGTGTGGCCCCAGCTTCCATAGTCACCCAGATCCTGTGTCCCAGGATTCTGTTCAGGGCAGTGGCCTGTGGCTCCTTGGCGGTGTTGGGCAGGTAATAGGTGACAACTGGCCGTGGGTGACGAAAGACGCAATCTGGGGCCCTTGTCGGGTTCCATGGGGTCAACACACCACCACAGCCAAGGTCAGGCTGCCAGTGAGTTGGACCTCAGGAGAGCTCCAGAGTGGCCCTGGGTGTGTCCGTCCCGCCCCAAGTCGATGCCAGGGACAGCGTGATTTAGTGTCCTAGGTCTTTGGTGTGTTCAGATGTGGTGCCCCCCACAAGGTCACGTGTGAGACCATGCAGGAAGGTCTGGGGGAGAAATGGCTGGGCCACAGCCTTGGCCTCATCAGGGAATTAACCCCTGAGGGGATTAACTGAGGGTCACTGGAGGCCGGGGGGTGGCTGGAGGAAGCAGGGCACTGGGGACAGGGCTGGGGGATACACTTGGTGTCTGGGGAGGGGAGTCTGCTTCCTGGGCGTCCTGTGAGCTGCTCCCCTCTGCCACACCCTCTGCCCTGATGTCCAGCCTCCCCTGGAGCCTGAGGAACCAGCCGGCTGTCCCCGGATTGAGACCTGGGAACGGTGAGCCCTCGGGTGAAGGTGTCCTGCTCTAGGGTTGTTTTGGCTGGGTCCCTTCAGCCACCCCAGTGAAAACGCTGACAAAAACAGGCTTCAGGAACAGCCCAGACCAGGGGCTCAGAGGGACAGCTTCCACCGTCTTCCAGGTCTGGAGGCCGGAAGTCACACCTGGAGCCCTGAGCAGGCCGGTTCCCTCCGACACCTGTAGGGGAGACACCTTCCTCACTTGTCGAGCTTTTGGTGTTTTTTGGGGGTGATCTTGGCATTCTTCAGAGGTACCCCCCAATGTCTGCCTCCATTGTCCCAAGGTCTTTCCTCCCTGGGGGCTCGCTGGGACAAGGACATCAGGGACACCAAAGGCATGAGCCTTCCAGGGCAGCCCCTGCCTGTGGTTCCAGTGGAGGGGTCTCGTCCTCAGAGAGCGTGGCTGATTCCATGCAGGAGACCCCGACGGTCTCCACCGCTGCCCTCTCTCCCTTCACTCCTCACCCGTGTCTCCCTCCTCTGCCTCCGGCTGCTGCCAGACCCGCTGTCCACCCTCTTCTGTGTGGGGAGCTGAGAGCTGTCCACCTTCCACACTGCTCCCTGCTCCGGCCATGGCGGTGGCTTTTATGAGCAAAAGCTCTTAGCCGGGCTTCCCCGACCTGGGGATCCTTTCTGAATGTCAGCGCTGGCTCCAGTCCCCCGGATCCAACCAGGGTTACCTGTTGAGAGCCACAGCCGAAGGGGCCCCAGCAAACTTCCAGCTGCCGGCTGATGATTGGCTCACAGCGGCCCCAGCAACATCTAGCTGATGGCTCCTCAGCCCCAGCAACATCTAGCTGATTGGCTCCTCTGCGGTGATGCTCATTGGGCTGTTTCCCTGCCCTTTCAGACCACGGAGCTGCTCATTGGGGGACTTTTTTGGCTCTGCCCACGTGACCCAGCCAATCGGCCTCAAGAGCAGGAGGATTGTGGGAGGTGGAGAGAAGCTTGTGGGGGAGAGAGAGGCTTGTGGAAAGCCGGTGGTGGCAGTTGAGGCTCTGAGGGTTTTTCCTGAGAGGCTATTTTGTTTGGCGTGTGTGGTTCTAAAAATAAAGTTAGTTTCTTTTGACAAGTGGCTCCTGATTGTGCCCAGCCAGACTGCGGCAGTTACCCAATAAATGGTCCTGAGCCAGAGGTAGCTCCCGGCCTGTCCCTGGCCACCAAGTTCAGATTGTGTCATTTAACCCTTAACAACCTCGGGAAAGCAGGGTCCTGTCATCACTCCTTACAGACGGAAACCTGACGTCCAGCAACTTAAGGGGACTGTCCCCAAATACACAGGTATTAAACTGAAGTGGGGTTTGAAAGACACACTAGGTGGCTTCAAGGCTTGTCCTCTACTTACACGGCCGCCCTGAATCGTCTCAGTGCCCCCTTTGCTGACTGTCTCCATTTCCCCAGTCTCCTCCCTCGGGATCGTCATCCAAGTCTTGGTCTTCCTTCCTTCCTTCTCTCTCTCTCTCTCTCTCTCTCTCTCTCTCTGTCTCTCTCTCTGTCTCTCTCTCTGTCTCTCTCTCCTTTTTGGGATCCATCCCTCTTTTTATTCCTTTTACAACCAACATTCAGCTCAGCGTCTCTGGGTCTGTCTCAGTCAATCTGTGTGTTTCAGTTTTGAATAAAGTTGGTCTCCATCTTTGGTGAAGGTACCCAGTCATGTTCATAGAATAAGGCCTGAGAACAGAAAATCACAAAAGAAAAGAAGACCTCACCTATGATGTCCCCACCCTTCAGCCCACCTCTGCAACAGTTTTCCAGGGTATAAAAACTTTCAACAATTTTAATTGTGTGTTCTTGTCTCAAAATAAAATTGAAAAGGGCTGGGGATGTGGCTCAGGGGTTAAGCAGCCCTGGGTTCAATACCCTGGTTTAAAACAAATAAACAAAAACCCCATTTGAGGGACTGTGTGCTCGGGGAGTCAGGTCACTTTTCCAAAATTATTTGGATTTACCAACTAAAAGATGTGAAGGGTGGGGAGAGGTGATAGAAACTTGCAAGGTATGCTTATGACATTTTGGGGTGTATCTTCTAATGTTTTGGTAGTATTGCCCTTATGGGTTTTTAGAATAATTATACTCTAAACATTTTGATGTTTCATAAAAGTTCTGTGCTTTTTTTTTATTAAATGCACCCAAGCATTTTTTAATACTTTCCTTAAAAAATTTTTTTTTGGGGATGGACACAGTACCTTTATATTTTTTTTAATTTTATTTATTTTTTTAAGAGAGGGAAGAGAGAGAGAGAATTTTTAATATTTATTTTTCAGTTTTCAGTAAACACAACATCTTTATTGTATTTGGTGTGGTGCTGAAGATCGAAACCAGCACCCCGCACATGCTGGGCGAGCGTGTTACCACTTGAGCCACATCCCCAGCCCATTTTACTTGTTAATTTTTATGTGGTGCTGGGGATCTAACCCAGTGCCTCACGCATGCTAGGCAAGCCCTCTAAAACTGAGCCACAACCCTGGGCGATACTTTCCTTCTTAATAACTTTATTTTATTCATTTGTTTTAATGTGGTACTGAGGGTTGAACCCTGCCTGACACTTGCTAGGCAGGTGCTCTTCCACTGAGCCATAACACTAGCCCCAAGTTCTGTGCTGTTGATCAGGAAACTTACACTCAAAAAACATGAGTTTGGAATATTAGTGAGTAAGAGGGCATAGCCTCGAAAAAAGTCACTATTCATCCATAATTGTCAATATTCATTAATTAACTTAATGACAATTCAAAGTGGTCCCCTGAAGAAAGCTTGGATATTCTGCTAGAACAAACGTCAGCAATTCTAATAAGGACAGTAGACAGCAACCATCTCCAACCACAACCCAGACATCTGCCATCCAACCCCCACTCCACATCCAAACTTTTCCGGGGGCTCAGTGTCCTCATTTGTACAATGGCGGCTAGGAGGATCTACCCACCGTGTTGGGGGAGAAAACCCAGTGGACACAGGAGGAGAGAGTAGGATGGGGCTTGCCCGCGGGAGATGCCCTCCTGCCTTGGCAATGTCATTCTAAGCCACACTTAAGGACAGTCCATGGTTCTAGTTCTCAAGAAGAATCTACTACTTGTATAATTAGTAAAGAAATGAATATTACTTAATATCAGAACAGGAAAGTGTGTGTTCAGCAGAGGCAAAGAAAAGGCAGGGAAAGGAAGGAAGAAGAAGAGATGGGCAAGTAACCCCAAGGCCCAGGACGGGAGCAGGACCACTGCAGGGTGAGCTCCCAGTCGGCCACCTGTGCAGGTGGGCAGGGAGCCGCGCTGTGGCTGGTGAGAAGGGAAGGTGGGCTTTCAGTGGCTCCTGGAGTGCAGGAGGAGGAGCAGGCGGTGCAAAAAGACAAACCTGTGTTTGGAAAGGAGTCCAGGCCACTTGCCCTGGAGCAAGAGTTGAGCCAAGCCTGGCACCAGACCACTGTAGGGTAAAGTCCTCTGAGCCAGGCAGGGATCCCACGCGGCATGGGGCCAGCGATGACGTTGCGAAAAGGGTACCCTGGACGGGGAAGCCTGGCGGGGAAGGGCTTCTCATCCACTCACATAAAAGTCACCATGGATGGCCCTGAGGCCACTGCGGAAGGTGGACACCACTCTGCACACCACACAGGAGACAGAGAGGGGCACCTCCAGGCATCGAGTGCACATCAGAGGTGAAGAGCGAGGGACCAGAGGTGAGAGGACAGAGGGCCTCGGGTTCCACGCGGTCTGTCCTCTGCATGCCTACAGCGCATGCTCTCTGAGGACCCCTCCACTCAACCAGAGGCAGGGGGCTGCCCTGGAAGGCTCATCCTTGGGTCTCCCTGACGTCCTCGCCTCCTGCAGGACCAGAGATGAGGCCCAGGAGCGGAGCTTTTTGGGTGGCCTTGTGGCTGTGGGTCCTGTGGACACTGGGTGTGGCCTCGGACTCCAGGGGGACAGTGCCCAGGCGCTGCCTGCTGTCACACTACCGCTTTCTGGACCCGAAGGCGCTGGCGGCAGTCAAGGCGCTGAGGGACAGCTACGTGAGTGGGGACCGCCCTCCAGCCCTGCGCCCAGCCCTGAGCCCACCAGCGGCCAGCGCGCGCCCATCTTTGTCCCCAGCGCCCCTGCGACCAGCGCTGAGCCGCGCCTCTGGGACTGTGCTGCAGGATTCTGAGCAGGACGCTCCCCAGAGCCCGAGCTCCAGCACCACCCTGGCTGGGCGCCAGCGGAGGGGCGCGTCGCGCTGGGCGGCGGGGGGTCCCGGTGGCGGCGCCAGGCGGGGCCCGGGGAGCGTGGGGCACATCTCAGCCCCGACCCCGCGTCGCAGAGCTGCTGCGCCCAGGGGACCACGGGGGAGCCACCTGGCCAGACCCGCGCCGCGTCCCCACATCCTCGCGGGCTCCGCGATTAGGTGCCAGCCTCACCTGACGCTTGTCCCGCAGGAGGAAGAGACCCTGAGCTGGAGGCCACGCAACTGCTCCTTCCGCCCCCGGAGGGACCATCCGCGGCCCTCGGTGAGGCCAGGTGCCTGGGAGGGGGCGCGGGGCGCTGGCGCGGCGACTCTAACTGCCATCGGGTCTCCACAGTCCTGTGCTGGGCTGCGCCACGTGGCCCGCAGCATCGCGGACGCCCAGGAGGTGCTGAGGGGCCTGCGACACCCGGAGATGCTCCCAGGCACCGATCAGACCCTGCAGCTGTTGGCGGCAGCGGGACGCGACCTGGAGACCTGCGTGAGTGACAGCGATTCTGGTCCTCCTGGCGCCTGCGAACTCTGGGTCTGCGGCAGGGAGGGCCACAGGCTGGTTAGGAGGGACGCTGGGGCCGGCGGCTGCCCCACTGACCCGCGTTGCCCCTGCAGCTCCAGCTGATCCCGCAGGGCTCCAGGAGGAGGTCCCCCAGGCCACCGCGGAGGCGTCACAAACCCCGCAGAGCTGTGAGTGCAGCGGGCAGTGCAGGGCTCCCACCGAGGGGACAGCAGCGGGTGGAAAGATAACCAGGAGCCTGGGGGCCACGGGGCCCTGTCCAGGAGGTCCTGGGGAAGGACAGTCCTGACTCCTGCTGGCTTCCAGGACTCGCCTCGCTGCCATGAAGCCTCTGTCATCTTCAACCTGCTGCGCCTGCTCACGCGGGACCTCAGGCTGGTGGCGCACTGGGGACCCTGTGTCTGACCTGCTGGGCTTCGCGGGGATCCTGAACCTGGAGCCACTGGATGCTGGGCCCTAGACGGGCATGTCTCTTGGCCAATGGACGCTGAGGCTCCAGACACTGGCCCCACCAGGACCCACTGGCACCCGCTCTTCCCTGAGAGAAGTTGTGGGTCCCCAGGATGCGGGGCTTTATCGTGGATGAATGACCTCCAGTTATTCCAGTGGCTAGTAAAGCAGAAGAGCCTTGAACTTGGGCACGACCCTCGCTGCCTTCAACACTGAGGTTGCCAGGAACCTCAACCCACTTCAGGAATCGTGTCCCTTGATTGGGACCCTGGAAGCCGCCTTGAGAGTCTGAATCTCTGAGTCTCTGACCGACATCCAAAGGGCCCCCATTCATGAAGGAACTGGGGAGTGAAGGGCACCTGGTCCTGGATTAGTGTCTTCCCTGGACTCTGTTACATGTGTGTTCCTTGTACTGTGAAGTCCCTGTTAGCGCTCCTGACCCCTGTTGTTAATTTATTACAGTTCATACACAGTGTTGCCTTCCATCTTTTCTGTTCTGTGTTTTCATTTGGACTCTCCCTTGACAGCAAGAAGGACTGATGCTCAGAATCAGGGGACCTGAGGTTCAGTTCTGACCCTGCCATTCAATTAGAGCTACTCCAGGAAAGTGAGTTCTGTGGGAGGCTCAGTCTCCCCATCTGCACAGAGAGGGCGACTGCTTCTCTTGCAAAGGAACAGCACACCTGGAAGTGGTGTTTGTAAGGTCCTTGCTGACATCCTCGGGGTCTTCCCAAATGACCTCCATCAAAGGAGCCTGTGCACAGGTACAGAAATACTCGGATTAGTGCTCTTGGTCCAAACCAGGGGACTAGCCCTCCTGGCTGCCACCTGCAGCCTCCTCCCCAAGGCCACACAGCTCCTAAGGTTGGAGCCAGGATGGAAGCCTACAGTCCTTGAGCTCCAGAGCGATTGCAGGTCACTGCCTGGGCTGACTGTCCAAGCAGAGGACAGGGCATGTGGATCAGTGGCAGAGCAGTGGCCAGCACGGGCAAGGCCCTGGGTCCCATCCCCACACCACACACTCACACTCACACACTCACACAGACAAAAGCAGTGTGGTGCCAAGGGATTTGCAATCTGTGACAATGTGCAGATTTGCAGTTGGGACAGTGTCTCCTCCAGGCAGGATTAAGGCTCCTGTACTGGAAACTGAACTGGGAGGTGCATTGGGCATGTCCTGCTCTGATTTGGAAGCCGTTGTATGAATCAGAGCTCAGAGAGTGTGACTGTGTATCCGTTTCCTGGAAGTGTGAATGAGGGACATAGTTTTTGGGATGGAGGCAAGTGTCACAGAGGACTGTCTTTTCTCACAGTCATGAGCTCTAGGTCCAGGAGACCCAACCACAAGGGAGACTGGGATTGGCCTCCAAGTGTCAGAGGAAACACTCATAGTCTTGACCTCACTGCTTCCTTGCTGTGTGTCCTTAGGCAGGTCTCTTAACCTCTCTGAGATTCTGCAGTTTACTACTTACTGCAAAAGGAGGCAAGCCACAGTGCTCCCTGGGTGCGAATGTGCATGTCCAGTTCCAGGTGAGATGAAGCATCTTGAGCAGAGCTGGACATGACAGGGCTCAGCACAAGGGGTGGCTCTCCTTCCCTGAGTGGGCTCCGTCCCTCATTCCCCTGGCTCTGTGCTCAGAGCCTCTCCTCAGGACCTGCCTGCTGCGCACGCCCTGCTGTGCCCCTGCCTCTCCGGTTTTGTTTTCTGTTACTTGACACAGCACAGGGCAGCTGCCCAGTTGCCAATTGCCCCTGCAAGGAACAGGGCTCAGGAAGGACAGTTTCGAGTTCTTTCCAGGGCTCTGTCCCTGGCCTGCTCTGGGCAGCAGGTGGAGAGGGGTGGGGCGCTCTGGCCTCCTCACTCTGGACCTTCCCTTCCTGACCCTCTGGCCCACAGCCTCCGCCCTGGGCCTCCCCCTCTGGGAATTGCAGTCCTCAGGGCAGCCGCTCCCTGGGGTGCCCTGCCATCTCCTCCCTGCAGGGGACATCCTGCCCGAGGCTGGTCCCCATCTCTCTGTGCACCCCAGTCCTGGGTCCCTCCCAGCAGCCACCGGAACCCCTTCCTGTGACCCGGGGCCGCCCCAGGGCTGAGGGTTCCCTGGGAGTCGCGTGCCGTGGCCAGGCTGAGTCCCTGTCCCTTTCCCTTTCGCTTCCGCTGCTCACCTGTGCGAGGCCCCGCCCCCGGGCTTCCCCAGCCTGGGCTCCCCTGGTGGCCAGCGCAGGCCTGGGCGCATTTTCGCTTTTCCTACATCAGCTGGGGCTGCCCTGAGCAGGGATAAAAGCTGCCCCATGGAGCTGCAGGGACAGTCCACCCTGCACCACGGGGACAGAAGCTGGGGACACTGCAGCACCCAGACCCAAGGACCTCGGGAGAGAGCCTGGACACAGCCGCAGGTGCACCCTGTGTTCCCATCGCTGACGGCCACCAGACCCGAGGATGAAGCTGGGTGAGCCCCACAGCGTGGCCCGGGTCACCGTCCCCACTCCCCGCTCTGTCCTCGCATCCCCAGCCCCTGACCCTGTCCTCCCGTGGTCCAGGCGCGGCTGCAGGCTGCTGGCTCCTCCTGACGCTGACGTCTGCGGTGCTGACGAGGACACGGGCAGTTCCTGTGCCCAGTCCCCTCAGCGCCCACCCAGATGCCAGGGACTGTGACATGGCCCAGTTCAAGACTCTGGCCCCACGGGAGCTGCAGGCCTTCAGGAAGGCCAGAGACGCCTTTGTGAGTGTCCCTGTCCCTCCTGCCTGTGCCCCGGCCTCCTCCCTGGGCCTCCCCGTGCAGCTCTGTGGGTGGCCCTCAGCCTCCCTGCAGGGTGGCCTCTGCCCTGTCCACCCTGGGCTCCCTCGCGCTCTGGCTGCTCTGGGCGACCTGAGGTCTCTGTCGCAGGGAGCCTGCCCTTCCCCTGAGGGAACCTGCCCTCTTCCTACCGTTGGCCCCTCCAGGCCCCTGCCGTGGTCCAGCCTTCGCCCTCCAGTGTGGGCTAACCTGTGCCCTTGCTCCCCAGGAGGAGTCCCTCTTGCTCAAGGACCTCGAGTGCCGCTCCCCGCTCTTGCCCAGGCCCTGGGACCTGCGGCAGCTGCAGGTGAGCTGGCAGAGCCAGGCCAGCCTGGCCTCCGGGGCCCACTCAGCGCCTCCCAGGGACCCTGTCCTTCTCTCCGGTCCCTCTCCCTCCCTGCCCACTGTCCCTCCCCAGTCCTGCCTGCTCTGCTGTGCCCTCTCCCTGCCCCTCCCCCTCCCCTCCCTGCCCTCCCTCCCTGTCCCTCCCAGCTCTCTCAGGGAGACCTCTCACTGTCTCTGTCCCCCTCAGGTGTGGGAGCGCCCTGTGGCCTTGCAGGCAGAGCTGGCCCTGACGCTGCGGGTCCTGGGGACCATGGCCAACTCGACCCTGGGGGACGTCCTGGACCAGCCCCTTCACACGCTGGGCCACATCCAGTCCCAGCTGCAGGCCTGTGTGAGTCCTGGGGTCCTGGGCGGCTGGGTCATGGCTGTGACACCCGCACGTCCCCTGTGCCCAGGCCCACTTCACACGCCCTCCTCTGCCCACAGGCCCTGGCTCAGCCCACAGCAGGCCCCAGGCCCCAGGGTCGCCACCGCCACCGCCTGTCCCACTGGCTGCAGAGGCTGCAGCAGGCCCCCGAGAAGGTGAGTGGGTGTCAGAGGACGGGGCTGGAGCAGCTGGCCCTGGCCACGGCAGCCACTGAGCCCCTCGTCCCCACAGGAGTCCCCCGTCTGCCTCGAGGCCTCCGTCACCTTCAACCTCCTCCGCCTCCTGGTGCGCGACCTGAAGTGTGTGGCCAGTGGACACCTGTGCGTCTGACCCACACCCTGCTGAGCCGTCGAGGAATCTCAGGTCTCATCTGTGCAGCGATGACACTCCTTAATTTATTGTCCCCAGCCCTCCACGTGGCCTTATTTATTTGTGTGACTCCCAGACTCAGATCCAATGAATTTTGTTTATTTTTCTACTTTTGTAAACATTGTGTAAATAAACGGCGAGTCCCAGGCTCTCCTGTGAGGCCCGTGTCCTTGTGTGTCCTGTTGGTGGCCATCTCTGTCTCCCCCACCTGCAGCTCCCCACAGCCCCTTGTCACCTGTCTGGGGTCTGCCGTGGGAGCCGGGGGGTCGGACTATGGGGTCTTAGTTTCCTGGGCAGAAGTCAGAGTGTCCCCTGGGCTGCCCTGGGACCCTGCAGGGAGCCCTCCCATTCGCGGGCAGGGGCCACAAGCTGCTCCCTGGTGCTCAGGACTGAGGCCTCTGCTGGCCCTGCAGCGGGATGGCAGCCTGGTCCTGGTCCTTGCCCCAGGGACGCTGCCCCTCAGGGACCAGAGCTGTGCACCCGCCTGGAAAACAGTCCTAATGCTCCAGGAATCATGGCCGCCCTCCCCCTTTGAGGACGGCCCTGTGTCTGCCCTCACCTCTGGGAGGTCATCGCTTACTGTCATGGCCAGGATGGGAGGGGAGCAGGACAGAGGTTCTATTTGATCTTCTCTCATCACCATAGATCTCTGGCCCTGCCTGATCAGGACTCCATGTAACCCCTTCCCCAGGTGTCCCCATGCTGACAGGAGGCTCAGTGTGGCTCGCTGTGGCCCCAGGTTCGATAGTCACCCAGATCCTCTGTCCCAGGATTCTGTTCAGGGCAGTGGCCTGTGGTCCCTTAGCGGTGTTGGGCAGGTAATAGGTGACAAATGCCGTCGGTGAAGAAAGACGCAATTTGGGGCCATTTGCCAGATTCCATGGTGACAACACACCACCACAGCCAAGGTCAGGCTGCCAGTGAGCTGGGACCTCGGGAGAGCTCCAGAGTGGCCCCTGGGTGTGTCTGTCTCCCCCAAGTCGATGCCAGGGACAGCGTGTTTTAGTGTCCTAGGTGTTTGGTGTGTTCAGATGTGGTGTCCCTCCCAAGGTCACGTGTGAGACCATGCAGGAAGGTCTTGGGGAGAAATGGCTGGGCCA